TAAGTTAAGAAATTATTTATAACGCAGTGGAAATAGTATGTGAAAATTGTGCAGACATCATCACTGCAGGATTTCCAGAAAACTTTTCAGGCCTAGAAACAACATGGAAATGAATAAAAAAGTTATATTTGGATGTTTTATCAAATTATTTGTAAAAAATAATCAAAAACAACTGGAAAATTTATGGATAATAATTAAAATAATTGTGCGGTTTCCCGGTCTGTGTACCTTCTGGTCATTTGGTTCTCTACTTAAAAAGAAATAAAGAAAAATTTGAAACTGCTGATTTTTCAGTTTTGTTCATGGGTAAAAAATTTGATTATGCTTTAATATTAGTTTATCGAATGTGTGGGCAGTGCTGAAATGCCCCTTTCATCCCCCCCCCATCCTCTGTGCTGCACCGTATATGCGCCAACCGCAATTTTCAATAGGAGAGTTGGGGCAGGCGAGCCGAGCTTATTCACGAGAATCCTGCGGCTTTGTCGTGTAGGCTGCTAGCGGCCCTTACAAGGTAAAAGATCGATATTTTCATGGCTGCTGCATGTTATTGACTGAAATGACTTTATTCATAACCAGTAAAACGGCATTTGAGTTTTACTGTATGTGATCTAAAATGATATGGAATAAAATGTGATACTCGCGGTTGCTGATTTTAGCCTACTCATTTTATTCTAAGCCTATTTATGAAAAACCTCAAAAAAATATAGCTTAATTTTTGTTCTTCTGTTTCTTAAACGAAACAAAAATAATTTCTCATTATTTCTTTTTAAGTAGAAAATCAAATGACCTGAAGGTACACGGACCGAACCCTGTCACTAACATGGCTGCTGTTGCACAGAAAAAAATACCAGTTGTTTTAGTAGAAACAGCCATTTTAAATATAATTTTCTTGTAATGGTATATTTGTATTTGTTAAAGTGTGTCAAAATGAAGATGATTTAATAAGGTGTTTTTAATAAAATAACACTTTATAATAAGGTTCTATTTGTTAACATAAGTTAAAGTTACCTTTTGTTTTGAAAAAGGTGTTTGACCCTCCTTGCGCATTTACTTTATAAACACTGGGTCGGTGCTTCTGCAGCGATGTAGGATAGGCCTGTCGCAATGATCAATATATCGACTTATCGCGCAATATATGTACATGACCTCAATCATTTTTGGTGACGCAATATATCGTCCATTATATTTACTTAAAAAATAATGTCGCCATGTTTTGTACACGCCACTTGCGCCTGTGTCTTCTCGTACATAACGTGGTGTCGTCATGAGGTGCTAGTTCAAATTTAAAAAATGCTTTTATAAAAAAAGTTTCATGTGCAGATGTGGTCTTGTTTAGGGATTTGTGCCTTTGTACATACAGACATCTGACTGCTAAGTATTGATTGTGTTTTTCAGCAATAGTGTGCACCCTTAATTTACAGAGAAAAGAAGGTCCGGGAAAAATCTCCGTACAAGTTCTTTGTGCATTTTTCTTTTTTTCTACTTGTTACTTTGCACTTTTTGTTAGAAAATGTTTATTTACTATTTATTCAGGTTTTTTAAGGTATCTAATATTTTGATACTTAATTTCCATGATCTAAATATTCTTAAAAATTAAAAGTTTGTTGTCATTTGGAAGTGTGTAGGCCTTCTTGAATTATTATGCTGTTACATTATGATTATATATTCAGTGGCATAACATGGTCTTTAAAATGACAATAATATCGCTTATCGCAATGATTTCTGGGGCAATATATCGCACAACAAAAAGTTGTTATCATGACAGGCCTGATGTAGGATGATTTTAAAGTTGGAGGAGAAAATGAGTTGGGAGTTTTTCGACATACCCTCAAAGTGCAGAGCACAGTGTCTTCTCCAAAGGAATCCGCTACGGTGTTTGAGGGGAGGGGAGGTTCAAGTTTTCCTGGGTCTGCGCGGGCAACAAGTGGGCGGGCATAAATATGCTAATGTTTCATGTTGACGTCAACTTGAAACCGCTTAAGATTCGTTTTAAAAACGACTCGTTTTCATGACTCGGAGTCGACTCTTTCTTTTGAAAGACAATAACTTTATACACGGTGCACTTTTAGATTTAAAACTTTGCAGGATGTTTTCATTCACTTAGAGCTGTGCTACACACTGCATGAAAGGTAATTTTCAAAAATCTTTAAGTTTATTTCAGTTAGTGAAATATTTTATTATTAGTTAGTTGCCAAGGCAAGATTTCTAATGTTTTCATGTAATATTGTATTTCATCTTTTAATTAAATTACTGTAAATGATTTTTCAAATGTTTAGTTTTAGTTAAGAATAGTAACACTATATAGTAGTAATTGTATAATAGTATATTTATAAATTAACATTGACCTGGCTAATAAATTCTGTAAAAAAATCTGTCCTCTATAGTTTGCCAGACAGTTCAGCAGAGATGAGCCTCTGACATTCAACTGGGTGTGTCAACATGTGAATTGGCCTCTGGTGCCTCCCAAAAACATCAAGGACCTGGTTCACCTCGAGGCTGTCCATGATGTGCTAGATCTTTACCTTTGGCTCAGGTATATATCTTTTTTTATCCTAAAGTTGAACACAAATCATCTGTAACTATTTATTTAAATTGTGGCTTTAAATCAGAGATCAATAAGTAAAAAATAATCTAATTTCCCATGATTAACCTCTTGGACTGCTTCCCTCTCGCAGCTATCGCTTCATGGACATGTTCCCTGATGCTAATCTCATCCGTGATATTCAAAAGGAACTGGACGGAATCATCCAGGTTGGTGTGCGTAACATCACTCGGCTCATCCGTGCCACAGAGGATCAACGCGCCTCTGCAGAAAACACTGCCTCCATTGGACTTGCTGTTTTAGACACACCACCACCGAGGAGGGGACGAGGGACAAAGAATCAAAGAAAAAATCCCAGGGCAACGGACTCTTCACTGAGCTCCAGGTTGGTGCGGGATGGACTACTGACAAAAGAACTGTTACAGCAGCTGCAGAGAGAATGGGTCAGAGAGCAGAGCCAACATGGAGACGACTCTAATTCAGCAAATAAAGGGAAGAAAAAGTGAACATTAACGTGTAACATGGACTTTTCTGTACTTTTAGAGGATCAAGAGAACAGTATGGCCGTACTGCTGATGTTCTGAACTGGATGTAATGGTTGCCTCACCATTTTTCTGGAGCACTTGACATCTATCTTGCTATAAAACATCACAGTTTTCATAGAAATGTAAAACAGAGTGTCAAAAAGAGGCATGTAACAGCCCCTTTTAGATGTGACAATAAAATTATATTGATATTTTTAATGGCTCTCCATTGCCTAAAAATAGAAAAATGCTGTTTCTTCTACAAGATAATAACCAGAATCAAAAACGCTGAAAGGTTCCCATGACCAAAAAAACCAAGGCTGCACAGGACCTACAGTTCTTGTCAGTCAGTCCATTGAACCTTTTTTTGAAAACCAATGATTTGTATTTACCCTCTTTTATTTTTAGCATGGTTATCCAGTCTGATGTTATTTTAGGAACTCTACTCGACCAATGAAATACTACAGCTGATATGTGGATTGATTTCGTCATTGTTCACCTTACCGCAACAGCCTTGTACAGTTGAGGGCAGTGTAAGGGTCAGTTTAAAAAAATCGATGCAAATCAGAACTTGTCGTATGTTACAGGTTAACTTTAATACTACTTTCTAGTAAATGTTTTCTTCTTTTTCAAAAGATTTTCACAAAAAATTTTCTTAACCTTTAGAAAATAATTCAGGATGTCAAAATAAGTATAATCAATGATATTTTATTTTACATTTTCAGTTTTTTTTTTTTTTTGTGCAACTCTTGACCTGTTTAATACGAGCTTTCATGCTATGTTAGTTATGTAAAGTAATAGTCCTCTTTCCAACGAGTGCAATTTGTGACTTTTATTTATTTTAACTACTACTATACTATTAATTTATTATTATTTCAAGTAATGGGACACCTGTTTGTACCCTATTTGTGAAAATGATCTGGACAGTTTTTGTCGACACATTGATTTATTTACACCATTGCAACTGTCAACTAAAATGGAACAGCTAATAGCATGTATCATGACGCTGGGTCATTTTTTTCGGGATGAATAATTCAGCAAAAAAGTGAAGTGTTAAAAATGTTTGGTAGACCAACCTGCTCTGTGTTTGCAGAAGGCCCCTGTTAATCTCTGCCCATTACTATGGTAACCAGATTAGCCTGAGAAACATCTTAATCCTTGAACATTTTCCTTGGATTTAGCCCATAAAACTCTTTGTGAACTTGTTGCTACAACAGCACATTTATGTTACATTTAATACCTTACAGTTACAAACCTAGAGGAGCGAAGGCCTGACATTGTCTGTGCAGAAATACCTTCTCATTGATCTTGTCAGCTCTGTCCTGGTGAACGTAGATAAGGCTGTTCTGCATTTAGCATGTTTCTCTCACTTTCTCACTAAGGATGTTTACATACTGAACAGGAAGGGCTCTTTTTGAACTATTGTTTCACTCATGCTTGTTTTAAGGTGCTCCTGCGGTTTGGAGCGAAGCTAATCACATTGCTAGGTGAGGCTGGAGAGCAGAGAGGCCGGAGAGGCTCACATCTGCAACTGGTCAGTGTTCAAAAAATGTTGGGAAATCTCTTCATGTAGCCCTACAAGAGTGATTACTGATAAACTGTCTGAAAAAAAGAAAGTCACATTTTAGAGAAGAAAAAAATCCCCCACTGACTTTCAAAGCTGCTACATAGTAACGACTTTCTACTTCGAGGACCTTGATAGAAATGTAGTGGAGTGAAAAGTACAATATTTGTCTTTCAAATGTAGTGAAGTTAAAGTCATAAGTTCCCAGAAAAAATAATACTCAAGTAAGGTACAGATACTCAAAAAGTGTACTTAAGTACAATACTCAAGTAAATGTATTTAGTTACTGACCGCCTCTGGGCGTAGCCATTAATTATTTAGCCGTGAAAGGGGAGGGAAAACCAAGTGCTGAACTCTCGCATAGGGAAATACAAGCTCAGAAGAAAACTTTCAGTCATACTAGAATCACTCCTGAGGATTGAGGGGGACACTTAAACCTGATGACTCATTTTGTCTTTCAATAAGTAAATCACATTTTATCTGAGGTCGACACTTGCGTCAGGAAGTCAAGATGTTTGCGGTCCATTTGCTGTCCTTTTACTTCTCAAAGCTTCAGGAGGATCAGATCAAGAAGGTAATTGCTTATGAAACCTCTCGACTTGTTAAAATATCTTTTTAGACAAACTTTCCATCAGAAGATAATTATAATGATTGTTTTTACAAAATTATGCCCTATATTCATTGATAAAGTATGTTTTTTTTTAAATTTACGTCTCTTTTTGAGGTGTCTGAATTTTTTTTTTTTTTTTTTTGTGGCTGTTTTGTGATTTTCTATGCTGACAGTAAGAGTTTAACTCTGTTATCAGTGTATTGTCAGATGTAGCCTGTTGTCCATGATGAATGTGATTTCACTGCAGCCTGTGGAATCATTAACTCTTCTCACACATGCTTTCTGTAGGCAGATAACTGACTGCATGAGGAGAGAGAGGACCTTGACCTACCCATTTGCATTTATTGAAATGATTTTCATTTCCATGAAAGTTCACACCTTTTTGAGCCAAAATTAAAACAATGACTATTTTGTTGTAGATTTATCTTTTTTACTTTTTTTAAAACTATTTAATCTTTCACTTTCAGTAGTTTACTATGAAGTTATCTGTTATACTTTATCAGTTAAAGACACAGCTACACACTCTTTATTATTAATGTTTTCCACATTTTATAATAATAGTAAAGTCATCAAAGTGATACAATAACACAAATGGATGGATGGGATTCTTTTAAAACAGTATTGAAGGAGTACCTGTGTATGCTGGATACTTGTTCCACTGCTTTTCCTTTATCTGTTAATGCATGTCCAATAAATATATAAAAAATAGTGCTGTCAAATGATTAATCACATCCAAAATAAACGTTTTTGTTTACATAATATACAGTATCTCACAGAAGTGAGAACACCCCTCACATTTTTGTCAATATTTTATTATATCTTTTCATGTGACAACACTGAAGAAATGACACTTTGCTACAATGTAAAGTAGTGAGTGTGCAGCTTGTATAACTGTAAATTTGCTGTCCCCTCAAAATAACTCAACACACAGCCATTAATGTCTAAACCGCTGCAGGGCAGTATTCTAAAATGATAACGACCCCAAACACACCTCCAAGACGACCACTGCCTTGCTAAAGAAGCTGAGGGTAAAGGTGATGGATTGGCCAAGCATGTCTCCAGACCTAAACCCTATTGAGCATCTCTAGGTCTCTAACATCCACCAGCTCCATGATGTCGTCATGGAGGAGTGGAAGAGGACTCCAGTGGCAACCTGTGAAGCTCTGGTGAACCCCATGCCCAAGAGGGTTAAGGCAGTGCTGGAAAATAATGGTGGCTACACAAAATATTGACAATTTGGGCCCAATTTGGACATTTTCATTTAGGGGTGTACTCACTTTTGTGGCCAGCAGTTTGGACAATAATGGCTGTGTGTTGAGTTATTTTGAGGGGACAGCAAATTTACACTTTTATACAAGCTGCACACTCACTACTTTACATTGTAGCAAAGTGTCATTTCTTCAGTGTTGTCACATGAAAAGATATAATAAAATATTTACAAAAATGTGAGGGGTGTACTCACTTCTGTGAGATACTGTATGTATGTGTACGGTGTATATTTATTATGTATATATAAATACAAACACATGCATGTATATATTTAAGAAAAATATATGTTTATATATTAATTATATTTATATATAATATAAAATATAATTCTATAAGTATATATACATGTAAATATTTTCAAAATATACACTGTATGTGTGTGTATGTATATATACATATTAAATAAACACAGTACACATACTTATTTTGGATGCGATTAATCGCGATTAATCATTTGACAGCACTTATAAAAATATATAAATAAAAGTTAAGTTTCATAAAGAACCCCATTGACAGTTTAAATTTGTCTGCAAAACTAATCTTGAGTGTTCAAGTGTAAGCCAAATGAATCTCCACGTTTTCACTGATAGTTGAGACTGTGTCATTTTACAACAGTATCATTTTTATCTCCAGAAACACACCTACATTATCTTTCATTGCATGAGTCACTGATAGTATTAGTAATATTTTTTGCTTGGCCATTTTCATGTTGTCATTCCCTCAACATGTTGAATTACATTTTATCATTCTTAATATTATTTGTCAGTATTTTATCTGTTTATCAATTTGTTTTATTTTTATTCAGTATAACAGTATATAAGTATTTTGTATAAAATAAAAAAGTGTAAAGGAAACGAAGCCAGGCATCAGAAGAGTGGACAAAACTTGTAGTGTTTGAAATAATTGTGTTTCTCAACAGGTAGACCGGTATCTGTACGCAATGCGCTTATCAGATGATCAGCTGATGGACATATCAGCCCGGTTTCGGCGGGAGATGGAGAAAGGACTGTCAAACGAGAGCAATGCTACAGCTGCAGTGAAGATGCTCCCGACCCACGTTTATTCAACACCTGATGGCTCAGGTATACACTGACATATACATGGTTACTACTGTAACTCTTTTCACATGCACCAGAAAAAAGCAGAACCACTGCATTAGAGTAATATTAAATCATTAAAGTCTGTTGAGGTTTATGAGGGCTTTACATATGTTCTCTTTCATATGTTTCTCCTGCAGAGAAGGGTGAGTTTCTGGCACTGGATCTGGGGGGTTCCAAATTTAAGGTACTACAGGTGAAGGTTTCAGAAGATGGGAAGGGGAAAGTCCAGATGGAGAGTGAAACCTTTCCCATCCCTGAAGAGATCCTTAATGGCAACGGAACTGAGGTGATCATCGCCAAAAGTAATCCATTGCGGATTACAAACTTTTTTCAGTGTATTGTGATTATGATGTTAATAAGAAAAGATCGAATAAACTTTGTTAGTTCTCATAATTATACCAATGCATTTATAGCAATTACGTATTTATTCATGCATTGCTCGTGTTCAATAAACAAGGTCAGCTAACCTTAGGGTCTAAATCACTGTAAAGAATAACATGAATAAGCAGCAGATTATTCTAATTGATAATGTTTTCATTAAATTATTGTTTCTCTTGCAGCTTTTTGAGCATGTGGCAGAATCTTTGAAGTCTTTTCTTCAGAAACACCACATTAATCACACAAGAAAACCTCTTGGCTTCACCTACTCTTTCCCATGTGCGCAATCCAAAATAGATGAGGTACAGTTGAACTCCGACATGTTTATGTAAAATTTATTTTTAACTCCTGATTTAATTCAATCAAGGTGCTCAAGTCATTTAGATATTGTTTAAAGTGGATTTTCTTATCAGTACACCAGTGAAATGAAAGAAGAGACATCCATATCAGTGGATCTCACTGACACATTGTGTTTGTGTTGACACAGGGTGTCTTGCTGTCATGGTCAAAGAATTTCAAGGCTAGAGGTGTTCAAGGGAAAAATGTGGTGCAGTTATTACGGAAAGCCATTCAAAAAGTTGGGGTATGGCTACCATTTTCTTCGTTCATCATTTACAATGAATAAAATGGGAAAGTAGAATCCAGCTGGTGCTAGTAGAAGTCATAGCAATAGTCAGCTGGTATTGCTGATTCATGTTCTTGTTTTTCAAGTGAGATTTTCTGTTGTGTGTGAAGGATGTTGACGTGGATGTCCTAGCTATGGTCAATGACACAGTAGGGGCCATGATGACCTGCGGATATGATGACCAGAACTGTGAGGTGGGGGTTATTATAGGTAAGGCCTCACTGGACACTTTTCTCTCAAAAGATTTCAAATGATAGAACTTTAAAAGAAGACCTCTAAGACTCATAAGAATCAAAGGTAAGGGAAATGTAAATATTTCATTTTTTGCCACTATCTGTTTCTTCAGGTACAGGCACTAATGCGTGTTACATGGAGGAAATGCGACACGTTGATCTGGTGGAAGGAGACGAAGGCAGGATGTGTATTAATACTGAATGGGGGGCCTTTGGAGATGATGGTGTGCTTGATGATTTCATCACAAGCTTTGACCGTGAAATTGATGCCGCCTCAATGAATTCAGGAAAACAGCTGTAAGTGCTTATTAATAGGCAAGTCATCAGATTGCTTTAACACAGAGATGCCCAAACCAGGGCCTGTGGGCCAAAGTTGGCTCGTAATGACCTCTGATTTGGCCCGTCATGACATATTACAAAAGCAGGAAAAAAGGTGCCATTGAAGCATATTCATTTATAATTAATCGTTTTGCTTTTTCTTTTTTGCATTGAAGTGTAAATAATATAAAGGAATTTGATTTTATAAAATGAATTTAAATATAATATTTGGATATAATGCATCGTTTACTTTATTCCCACAATCAAGTTTTCAATCATTTGACCCTCAATCAAGTTTTATTTTTGGCCCATCATAGTAAATGGTTTGGGCACATCTGATTTAAGATTATTCCCAAAATGTGTGCATTTAACTAAATTTTTTTCGCAAAGTTTTTTTAATATCCATTCTCCAAACCACTTGTCCTATTTAGGGATGAGGAGATGCTGCAGACTATATATTTATTTCATTATTTTGATTTCATTTGTATATTCAGTGGGATCAGAATAGATGTGAAGTCTGAGCGTTATGATAATTGACTTATTAACATACATTTTATGTCACTGAATGTTACTTTCACAGAAAGAGGAAAGTACCTTGCTCTGGATCTTGGTGGAACCAATTTCCGTGTGTTGGTGGTTAAGATTCGTACTGGTATGCGAAATTCAGTCAGGATGTACAACAAGATTTATGCCATTCCACTGGAGATCATGCAAGGCACAGGAGAGGAGGTGAAACACTATCAATAAATAAACAAGTATTTTAGTCCAAATGAATACATTAGTATAGGGCTGTGCAAAAAATCGAATGCGATTGTCATGCTCATCTCGTCAGTAAAGCCGGTTCTGTGATTAGTAGTAAACTCCAGCACGTGCTTTCAGATGGAGCGGCATTTACTACACAGAGCCGCAGTTCACTGACAAGCTACACAAAATCGCATTCAAAATCACAGGCGATTCATCGCCGATTATGAACACAATATTGCGTAGCTTGTCAGTGATCTACGGCTCTGTGTAGTAAATCCAGCTCCATCTGAAAGCACGTGCTGGAGATTTACTACTAATCACAGAACCGGCTTTACTGACGAGATGAGCATGAAAATCGCATTCGATTTTTTGCACAGCCCTACATTAGTATAACATGTTTACCATCATTATACTGTATAAAGTCAGAAATGTATCAGTACAACATTCACAAGAAATGTTAAGCTATTTTTTTCATGTTTGTTTTGAAAAGTAGTTTATTTTTTTTATTATTATTTCAGTTGTTTGACCACATAGTTCAGTGCATCTCGGATTTCTTGGACTATATGGGGATGAAGAACACTCGTTTGCCTCTTGGCTTCACCTTCTCTTTCCCATGCAGTCAGACAGGTATTGATAAGGTAAACAAGGATCTACCTTGGGATATCAGAGGTCACTTCAGCTGTCAATATAATTCTCATAACAAGGCTATAACACCTTAAAACAAAACGTTAAAGCACACAGACAAATGCTACTCTCAATTGATCATCCTTGCCATCCACTTGTTTAGGGAGATCTGGTCTGCTGGACGAAAGGCTTCAAAGCAACAGAATGCGAGGGGTATGATGTTGTGGATATGCTGAGAGAGGCCATCAAAAGACGAAATGTGAGGGGAAGCAAACATCAAGTTGATTTTGCACATGACACACTCATCCACTTACAAAGAAGCACTATTATCATCATTAATGTTAATGATCCATTGTCACATTATCAGAATATTCAGACTTGATCAAATGCTTATATTTTTTCATAAATAAGTATAATGTAGTTTATAATCCTCTAATTTGAATGAGATTGTTGTGTTTTATGTTTTTTTGTGCTACTGATGTTTGTATTGGTGTGATCATGATTTAATTTGTTCTTTCAGGAATTTGACCTTGATATCGTTGCTATAGTGAATGACACAGTTGGCACAATGATGACATGTGCATATGAGGACCCTAAATGTCAGATTGGTCTTATTGCTGGTATGCATTAATGTATTTCGGTGGTGATTCAGTGAGGCTGTATGCTAACTGACAACCTCACTGCTGATTATAAACCAACACACACAAAGATTATAGTATGCGACATGTCAACAACTCTATGATTCTTAAATCCACAGGAACGGGAAGCAATGTGTGTTACATGGAGGAGATGAAGAATATTGAGTTTGTGGAGGGTGATGAAGGCCAGATGTGCGTGAACACTGAATGGGGAGGATTTGGGGAAAATGATAATATCGAGGACATCCGGACCAGATATGACAGAGAAGTGGATGGAGGCTCACTCAATCCAGGAAAACAAAGGTAAAGATGACCATTTTAGACATTGTTATTTTCAAATGGTTATTCTAAACAGTTGTGCAAGACAAGTGCAATCCAAGTTTTCTGCATTAGTCCACATGGAGGCAGTATACTATCAGGAATTCATGCAGGAAGCATGAAAACAGTGTTAGCAACCTGTTGCAATGCACATAGCCTTTTATGGGCAAAAAGCAAAAATAAGTGGTATTTAAATGGTAATTAATTACTTTCTTTGCCATTATTGGGAAGATTATAATTTAATTATATATTTATTTATATGAAATAATAATTAAATAATTGTACTTAAAATACAAATAATCTACTACTACTATTATCCATTGAAATTTTTTAAAGTATATACAAAGTCTCAGGTTTTCCAGATATAAGCTGATGTGTTATCCTCTCATTTCCAGGTTCGAAAAGATGACCAGTGGAATGTATTTGGGAGAGATTGTAAGGCAAATCCTCATTGATCTCACAAAGCATGGTCTTCTGTTTCGTGGTCGCATCACAGAGAGACTGAAGACCAAAGGCATCTTTGAGACCAAGTTCCTCTCTCAGATTGAGAGGTACAGTAGCCTCTCAGGATGTGTCCCTAAATATTTTGGCAAATACTTTAATCATGCTGATATTGTTCAGCCTACTGTGTAGCTTTTACCTTTAGCTACTGGGCACCTTTAGCTATTTATGAGCCTCATGTACAGTATATGAGGATCATAAATTAGTATAGTATTAGGTTTTTAAATGAGAGAAAAAAATGGAGTGCACCTTTTATAATAGTCATTTATCTCTTAAAGTCATTTAAATTTATTTACTTCTAAATTCTAAGTGAATAAATACAACATTATGTATTTATTCTGACTCATGCTTTTGCTTCCATTTACCCAGTGACCGTTTGGCACTACTGCAAGTGAGGTCTATTCTGCAGAGTCTGGGCTTGGACAGCACATGTGACGACAGTATTATTGTGAAGGAAGTGTGTGGAGCTGTTTCCCATCGAGCAGCTCAGATCTGTGGAGCAGGAATGGCTGCTGTTGTAGACAAAATCAGAGAGAACCGTGGTCTGGACAATCTGGAGATTACTGTGGGAGTGGACGGCACCCTTTACAAGTTACATCCACAGTAAGTAAAGATTAGTGCAACAACTTTACATTTTCATTTGATCAGTGTTGGAGTCATATCCTAAACTTGACATGTCGCTTTTCTTGACAGCTTCTCCACAATCTTAAAGGACACTGTCAGAGAGCTTGCGCCCAATTGTAAGGTGGATTTCATCCTATCAGAGGATGGCAGTGGGAAAGGAGCGGCCCTGATCACAGCTGTAGCACAACAGCATCATATAGAGAAACAAGAACCTCACTAGATGGTTTCTTTGAGGGCTGATATGTTGTTTTAAGAGTTCAGGTTTCTATAAGTAATCATATAGATTTATCAAATGACAACACTCACAAATTCTTGCTTATTTTACAGCTTGCATATCTTTTTTTTTTTTTTTGCATACAAAATCAGGTACATTGGCAGAAAAGTGTTCATTTATTACTTTTTATTATTTTATTTTGAATGTATTAATTAGTGAAATAAAGACTGCATTGATGTTCATCATGTTCAGCATCGTTTCACTCTCACTGTACATTGCCACTTTGAAGGGCTTTTTTCTCGTTGTATTTTTGTACCGACTCAGTGAACGGTTTGCATGGGCAGTCAGAATGAAAGGCTCACAGAGGGCTAAACTAAAGGGGGCAGTGGCTGTGTGCAGTGGAATGTCATGCCAGTATGTTGCTCTAGTGCTCTATGATGGTGTCTGAGAAGCTTAGAGACCAAACAGCCATATTAAATCAGGAACTGCTGCAGATTAGAGCCAAATTCAAAGTTTTTTTCAGGATTATGAAAAATGACTTAAGATTTTATTTTAAATTGAATTGTTTTTTTAAGGAATAGTTCACCAAAAAAAGTAATCCTGAAAAAAGTATCATGGTTTCCACAAAAATATTAAGTAGAACAACTGTTTTCAACATTGATAATAAGAAATGTTTCTTGAGCAGCAAATCAGCATATTAGAATGATTTCTGAAAGATCCTGTGGCACTGAAGACTCGAGTAATGATGCTGAAATATCATCTTTGCCATCACATGAATAAATTACATTTTAGAATATAATAAAACATAAAACAATCATTTTAAATTGTACTAGTATTTCACAACATCACTGTTTTAACTGTATTTTTTGATCAAATAAATAAATAAAGCAGTCTTGCATAGGAGACTTTTTCAAAAACTTCAAAAAAAATCTTACCAACCCCAAACCAAATGGTACTGTATATTCTTCAAAACGTAGTACAATATGTATTTGTATTTAAAATATCTTTGGACACTTTTCAAATGGTGATTTAATAGATCCATTAGATTTCCCTTTTGTGTTCACTAATTTAAGCTTCTAAAGGATTTAACAAAGCAGTTAAACCAGGCCAGCTCCTGATCACAAATCCTCATGGAGCAGGAAGGGAAAAGTTTACTCATCATAATCCTTCCCGCAAATGCTAACTAGCTTCACTGTTAAACAACAGTAGCTGAAGCTAGTAGCCATGCTCATCAGCACGTCACTGAACATGAGTCTGCTCTAGCATGCATGCAGACACGTTCACTTATACACTTAGCTAAGGTTAGCCAAGTTAGATAACTCTGCTAAATTAAGTATACCAAGAAACAGACATCTCTCTGCTTGCAGTAATTGTTTCCTGTGGTATATTGTTTACCTCTGTACATTAACTCGATACAAGGACAAAATAGTGTGAATAAAATAGAGCATGTGTTTAATCTGACTTGATCTCAAGGAGCCAACTAGTTCAGCTGATGCTGAGATCCTCTATCCAAATTTATATATATATATATATCTACAGAGAGAGAGAGAGTAAACCAACTGCCTTCAGTTATGGAAAGTGATAAGGTAACTAAAACTTCCTACATCCCGTGTCTGTTCAAATAGCTGTGTTTAGAGAACAGGCTGATATTTTATAGTGTTTAGTTCCTTAAAAATGTTCTCCCAAGTCATTTCAATTTCAGCAAAAGCCCTATGTTGTATAGTATTGGGTAATACATTATATAAATTACGTTTATTTGTCATTTCTGCCATATAGAAGTACACAGTAAAATGACAAATCATTTATGCAGGTCCACAGTGCAAATTCCAGACAGATTAATGACAATTATATTAGGCCTAATGCATTTTATGTTAGTGTAAATCATTTCTTTTACCCCATGTAGAGGATGTGTTTTGCTCTGCCTCTGTAAACTAAAGACTAGTTTGAACGAGACAAACATTCTGTCGAGTTTATTCCTGTTCTTCTGAATGTTCTGTTGAAGACATGGTATAATTACTGTAGCCTACTTTTAAAAGCATTTTGTAAAGAAGCTGTTAAACAGTGAGAATAACTTTTTTTTCACTAAAATGCCAGTAATTATGCATCTTAAATGTATAGTTCCACTGGACAGTCTAAATAAGCTAATCACACCTTAAGCTGATTCTTAAATCATTTTAGCAAATCACAGCAGTCACTCTTACAGCTATGCGTACTTCAATGTCATATTTTAGGACAAATGATCATTATTATTATTATAAACAAAAGTGTGATGCAATCTTAAATGTTAGCCATGACTATAAAAAACAAACATTAAAAATACTATAAAAATAATTTTAAATTTATATCTTATATTTTTTAGTCACTGTTTTTTACATACAGTACCTTAAATCAAAGAAAATAATTTAAAAAAATTAGATGAACTGACTTACGAAACAGCCTTTACTGATCTGGATCAACCATTCCTCCTTATGAGAAATTGTCAATGAATATTAAGCATTTTGTAAAGAAGCTGTTAAACAGTGAGAATAACTTTTTTTTCACTAAAATGCCAGTAATTATGCATCTTAAATGTATAGTTCCACTGGACAGTCTAAATAAGCTAATCACACCTTAAGCTGATTCTTAAATCATTTTAGCAAATCACAGCAGTCACTCTTACAGCTATGCGTACTTCAATGTCATATTTTAGGACAAATGATCATTATTATTATTATAAACAAAAGTGTGATGCAATCTTAAATGTTAGCCATGACTATAAAAAAACAAACATTAAAAATACTATAAAAATAATTTTAAATTTATATCTTATATTTTTTAGTCACTGTTTTTTACATACAGTACCTTAAATCAAAGAAAATCATTTAAAAAAATTAGATGAACTGACTTACGAAACAGCCTTTACTGATCTGGATCAACCATTCCTCCTTATGAGAAATTGTCAATGAATATCAAAAAATAAACATCTAAAAATGGACCTGAGGTTGTATTATATTGGTTAAGAACTGGTCAGTGTCCTTGAACAAAGCTGGTCATTGTATCTGCCTGTATGACTGTGTGGCTCATTCAAGCATGAACATTCAGCTGTCAAGGGGTGTAGTATCTACTGGGTAGGTCATTTGTGAAAATATCAGCCATTATTTATTATATGTCATATTTCTGCTGTCACAGACTCTAAGCAAACACAGTCCTAGAGTAAATCAGAGTAAATCTGCCAGGAAGTAATGTCATTGCTCCACTATGCAACGTGCTTTCATTTGTGAAGAATATTCAAATAAATGTAATGCCAAATGAGTATTTTTGAGCTTTAGTCATTGTAAATGAACATTTTAAATGACAATTAAATAACATGACATGGATATCGTAAGACACGGAATTAATTTCCTTTACACTCCCAGTGCTGTGAGTAAATCTGCCAGGAAGTGAATCATTGCTCAACTATGCAAAGTACTTAACTGGCTGGACATTGTTCCCTTGTAAATAAACTTTCAGGAATTAGAGACATTTGAATGTGTGCCATATGGTGACATTTTTGCCAGTACGATGCCTGTCCTGTAGAATATGAACAGCTCTGTTCCAGGAAACCTTATCTCACTTTGAGTCACCTTCAAGTATTATGGTCATAAAGGACTTTGATGTCTTCAGCTCTGTAAATGTTTCTGGACTGCCACTGTCTGTCACTAAAAATAAATTGTAGCAAGTTAAAAAATGAAATGTCTCTCAGTATACTTAGGACTTAATATAGTCAATGTGTGTACCAGTATTAAAATGAAAATAAAAAATGTATCTAACAGTTTTCTTTGCTTTATAAAGCTGTATTGCTCTACAATCTAACACAACAATTTTTCAGTACAATAAGCGAAAAATATGTGCTGTAATATATGTTGATGTATGAATGAATCAAATCTGTCATTTGTGATGCTTCTTGTTCTCGTGACGCATCTCAGTGAAATTCTGCTGTGATTGGCTCTGCTCAGAAAGAGGACGTTAGGCTCTCACAATCACGTGCTTCTGAGAGGGGGAGGATGGACACGCTTGCCTTGAAGCACGACCCACAGTAAGAGCATCTGGCCTGTGTTACTGTCACCTCACCCGCTTCCACGGATTTTCCAATTACCCTGAGTGTTTCCCACCATGACATTCCCTTGAGATACTGTAAAATAAACCCTTTCCAACAGCTTAGGCTAAATCAGTTTTAGCACTTCTTAGCATTTCAAATGTTTAGCATATATCAAAGAGTACATAAATCGTTTTTTTATTACATAAAGTATATTTATTTTGAGCTCCAGTTTATATTATAGGCTACCACTTGTTTTATTTACTTTATTTTATTAATATGTAATAATTTTATATCCAGCATATCAAAGGATATAATTTTTATTTTTATTATTACACCAGCATTTAATATGTCCTGTTTATATAATAGGGTACCATTTTTTATAATATATTTTATTACATCAGCATTTATTATGTCCAGTATACACACACACACACACACACCAATTGTTTTATTTAATTTTATTCACATTAGCAATTAATATCCATCATATATAAAATGGTATCAAATATTTATAATTACATCAGTATTTATTATGTATTTATATAGTATATAGGGTACCAAGTGTTTTTTTTAATATATATAATTATAACATTTGTCTAATGCTTGTTTAGATTTAGGTGTTGCTGTCCTTTTCAGGAAATTAACAAATTGATGTCATGTAAAATGGGTATTTTAGAGCCTCAGTCATTGTAATGAACATTTTAAATGACAATTAAATCACATAATGGCATGGATAATGTAAGACAGGGAGTTCATTTCCTTTGCATTGTGTGTCATTATGTGTATTTTAACATCAACATGTTATGTGCATCCTCTCTTGTTTTCAAATGTAAATCATCCCCAGCTGTTCACACATTTTAGGCCAGGCCTTTCCAGACTGACCCCCTAATGTCATTTTTGACCACCCCCCTTGCCGACTACTCTCAAAATAATGTCACAAGTCTCCTTATTTCCTCCAGCGTCACACATAACGGTCCTGTCGCTGAACTGTAGAAGCAGGAAACACGCATGTCTGTGCTGATATGACTTTGGCTATAGCATTACTCAGCATTTTTGCTTCTCCACCCAAATCTACCAATCTAACCACTTTTAAGATCTCAAGCGGCGAGGCTTTGAGTATGTGACACATTGAGGACGTGCCTCTTAGGTGAATCCCCTTTTTCTTTCACTCAAAGTGGATGAGAATGAGGAAGAAGGAATACTGAAAATGACTGAATGGACAGAATGGACGACGGAGGTGGGATCTTAAGAGAAGAAGCAAGAAGGAGCTGGAGGAGGGGGGCGGCTGTCAGCTGTGCTCTGCCTCACAAGCCTGCCCATAAAGCTCAGCCAATAGGAGCAGAGTGAGTGGGCAGGGCTTTAGCCGTTCCCCATCCTAGCCTCTGCTGCATCTCATGCAAGCGCATTATATGCAGCTTGACTTCCTAGGCCGAGGAAAGTCAGACATCGCCGTAGCGCTGGGAGGGAACACCCCTACATGCCGGCTTCTCGTTTTACAGTAAACACACGTTGCTTCTGGGCTCAAATTGTTCGCCTGCCTCACTGGAAAGGATCGTAAGGCTTGTCCTTCTCTCTTCTCTTGCATTTTCTCCAAAGAGCTGAAGCAGGATGATAGCGGCACAGCTTCTGGCCTACTACTTCACTGAACTGAAGGATGACCAGGTCAAAAAGGTGAGTTTCATTATTTGTCTTTAACCAGTGATGTTCAAATGCATCCTCACTCGTCCTTGCGAGCATTTGTGAGCTTTTCCAGACGCATGACAACAGGTGACACAGGCCTGCATTTTAGAGTAGAGGGTCGTGAGATGCGCCTCGTCTCACGTCCCTCCATCTGCAGCTTCTACATCACACGATGTGCGACGGCGACGATGAGAGGACGAGGTATACCCTTGCAAATGACACAATGCCATCGCCATAGGTTGTCGGGGTCATGCTGCAATGTCCTTGAAAGCAGGATGTGGGGCGTCATGGAGCTGCCATGAGGAGAGGAACGATTTTGAGTGTGTGTGTGTGTGTGTGTGTCTCTCTGTGTGAACGTGCTTATTGGAGAGTACGTCTCTGAGTGGGGGAAGGTGGTCCTGAGCATCAACCCCCCTCCCCGGTAGGAAGAGTGTCGGGTTTCAACAGCTGACTTACGGCGTGCCTTTGCCAGAGAGTTTGCCCGTGTTTAAATGCAATTGTAGAGGGAGGAAAAGATGTGTAAACAGAGCAGGACTGCGTGTATGCACATGCCTGTGTGTCTCGCTTTGAAAATATGCAGTCTTCATATTTTAACTATGTGTTAGCATGAAAAAATTATGTAATTATTTTATAATTATTATTTTTATTAATTGTTATTTTTGTAAATATTTTTAATTTAAAAAGATGTAATAATGTAATAATTGTATGATTCACTGAAGAAGGCTTACTGCCAAAATGTTTGATTGTTCTCTGCTGCAAAATTAAAATGAATCGAAAAGTGATTAAGAAGATTAAGCGAGTGCGGATCCCTGACTAGAAAACTGTAAAAAACAACAACTTGATTTTAAAATAACTTTTGAAATGTGATTACTCAATAGTTTTAACATAACTGAAGTACTCTTAATATAAGCATACACGTTTAGATATTAATACATAGGTGGTTTATACTTAATAAACCACCTATATACCACCTGTGGGATAAATATATATATATATATATATATATTCATATGATCAGATACTAATATTTTTAAGAAGGAATAAATTCTCCCATTTTTATTAAGAAGTAAAATCCTTATTACCTTATATTGCGCTGAATTATTATATAGTATACTATTTTGAAAACATTTGCACAAAATTTATTTACCAGATTTTTTTGTCTCAAACTTCCTTTTAAATTTAGAGTTGCATATGTGCCAATTACTCTGGCAATGTGCTTCAAGAAGTCATCATGGTTTGGATACAAGTCAGATATTTTATATACCTCTGTATTAATTTCCACTGCAGTTATTTTAGTATTATCAATATACTATTATATCATTTAATTATTTTTTTAATTAGCTTTTGCTTTTATATTTTCATTTTAGTTTTAGTAATTTTATGTGTTTCTGTCATTTTATTAGTTTGTTTTTATATTTTTATTTAGCTTGAATTTATTAAGTAGTAATTCAACTTATTTCAGTTAATTGCCAAAGCAACACTTCTAATTTGTTTAAGTTTTTTTAACCTAATATTTTATGTTTTTCAGCTTTATTTCAATTAACAATTTTTAATAGTTTTAGTTAACAATAGCAACACTGTTCCACAGAAGCCCAATTACACTTCAGAGTAAGAAGCAGCAGTTGTATCATGTAACATGGTTACTATAACAACATGTAAGGCATGACAGCCTAAAATGAAATCCATCCTGTGTGATTCAGTTGCGCACCTGCATGCTACTCATTTCTGATAAGAGTTTTATGACCCATAGATGTCATACATTTAATTTGATTATAAAAGTTATTCATTGCTAATGTGACAGGAAGTTTGTGAATAAGCAGTTAAACAGTGGTGAAGCATAGCGTATATGACATAGCCTTTGCAAACAAATCACACAGACAGAATATGTCAGTGCTCTTAGCATATTTAAAGATAAAGCCATCATTCTCCTCACCCTCATTGAGACAGTTATGGCAGCTTTACCACTGCTCTCATGTTTTTATGAGGAAGTTGGATGTTAGTCATGCTGGTTACGCAATGCCCTATTTTACACAATCTCCTAGTAGTGTTTTTTAACAAACCAAATTCAACAACTTGAAAGAGATTGCAGTAATCTTAAAGGGTTAGTTCACCCAAAAATTAAAATTGGCTTGTGTTTTACTCACCCTTGAAGCATCCTAGGTGTGTATGACTTTCTTCTTTCAGATGAATCCAGTCGGGAGTTATATTAAAAATTGTCCTGGCTATTCCAAGCTCTATCATTGCAGTCAGCGGGTGTTGCAGTTGAACAGTCCACAAGTCGTCAAATAAAGCGTGCGCATCCATAATAAAACGTGCTTCACACGGCTCCGGGGGGTGAATAAAGGCCTCCTGTAGTGAATCCATGCGTTTTTGTAAGAAAAATATCCATATTTCAAACGTAATAAACACTTTTCTCTCACTTTCGTTATCTTTCATAAGCGGAAGGCGTTCTGGCGGATGACGCAGGACATATGTGCAGCGTGCGCGCCTCTGAGATATGCTAGTTTCGCCAGTTTATTTATAGGAGCAAAGGAAGCAAAGTTTAAAACGTAATAAACACTTTTCTCTCACTTCCGTTATCTTTCATAAGCGGAAGGCGTTCTGGCGGATGACGCAGGACGTATGTGCAGCGTGCGCGCCTCTGAGATATGCTAGTTTCGCCAGTTTATTTATAGGAGCAAAGGAAGCAAAGTTTATTTACTTTAGCAAAGGAAAACCAGTCTCCTCTTGGCTTATATCGAAATCCTCCGACATTTTTCTTTGCAAATCTTCGGTTTGTACTTCTAGTTCGTGACCGGCGTTTTGTTGTCTGTCCGCATTCGTCACTCATCACGCAACTCCGACGTGCTACGTCATCGCCGGCACGGCTTCCGTGTATGACAGTTGGCGGAAGTGATATAAAAGTGTTTATTACGTTTGAGACATGGATATTTATCTTACAAAAACACATGGATTCACTACAGAAGGCCTTTATTCACCCCCCGGAGCCGTGTGAGGCACGTTTTATTATGGATGCGCGCGCTTTATTTGACGACTTGTGGACTGTTCAACTGCAACACCCGCTGACTGCAATGATAGAGCTTGGAATAGCCAGGACAATTTTTAATATAACTCTTACTGGATTCGCCTGAAAGAAGAAAGTCATACACACCTAGGATGCTTTGAGGGTGAGTAAAACACAAGCCAATTTTCATTTTTGGGTGAACTAACCCTTTAATGCAGAAATGTCATAATGTAAATAGAGATTTTATTGGCATATACCATCCCTTACATGTGTGGTATTTGTAAAAAGTAATAAATTCATAAAAATTTACATTTGCCTACAGTTTGGAAGACTATACTATGTACAAAACTATATCTGATTGAAAAATAATTTCGAACTAAATGGCTAAAAATACAAAATTAATAAATAAATACAAGTTAACAAATATAATACATATAAACTCCGACGTGCTACGTCATCGCCGGCACGGCTTCCGTGTATGACAGTTGGCGGAAGTGATATAAAAGTGTTTATTACGTTTGAGACATGGATATTTATCTTACAAAAACACATGGATTCACTACAGAAGGCCTTTATTCACCCCCCGGAGCCGTGTGAGGCACGTTTTATTATGGATGCGCGCGCTTTATTTGACGACTTGTGGACTGTTCAACTGCAACACCCGCTGACTGCAATGATAGAGCTTGGAATAGCCAGGACAATTTTTAATATAACTCTTACTGGATTCATCTGAAAGAAGAAAGTCATACACACCTAGGATGCTTTGAGGGTGAGTAAAACACAAGCCAATTTTCATTTTGGGGTGAACTAACCCTTTAATGCAGAAATGTCATAATGTAAATAGAGATTTTATTGGCATATACCATCCCTTACATGTGTGATATTTGTAAAAAGTAATAAATTCATAAAAATTTACATTTGCCTACAGTTTGGAAGACTATACTATGTACAAAACTATATCTGATTGAAAAATTATTTCGAACTAAATGGCTAAAAATACAAAATTAATAAATAAATACGTTAACAAATATAATACATATATAATTAATAATATAAAAATAATATTTTTGTAGCATAATAAATAAATATATTCTAGTATGCTTGTTATTAATCTGTATATTGCATATTTGCATCATACTTAAAAACAACAAGTGTACCACCAACACCAGCAGGTAAAGAACAGCACTTTGCATACTAAAATAAAAAAATTTCCAGCAATGGCATCACACACCGATTCAAGCCTAAATCTCTCATATGCTCACAATAAAGTTAGACTAAATCATGAGTCAGCATATGTAAGAGCAGGTGCTTATGTTTACAGTATTAATTCACTTTTGTTGCATTAGACTTCAGTGAAACATCTTCCCCTAGCCATTTTCTTGACGAATATCATCTGTGTTTATAAACGGTATTGCCCATAGATTTCTGGTACGTCTGCATAGTCTAGGCCGTGGGCCATATATTTCAAGGACACACTGACCTAACAACTGACAGGCAATGACTTGACCACATTCATCATGTTCATCAATGCTGATTACTAACAAACACCTGCGTGCTTTAGAAAAAATGGGGGCAAAAGGCACAATGTAATTAGTTTATTCCGTGTCAATTTGTGTAGATTGACAAATACTTGTACGCCATGCGGTTCTCTGACGAGACTCTGCGCGACATCATGGCCCGCTTCCGAAGGGAAATGGAGAACGGACTGGGACGAGACACTAACCCAACAGCTACTGTCAAGATGCTGCCCACCTTTGTAAGGTCCATTCCTGATGGATCAGGTGAGCTTATCATTTTTATGACCGCAAATCGTAAATAAATGGGTTGTATAAATACAAGACTTTTATCTGGTGACAGAATCCTTAAATAATTGCAAAAGCTTGCTTTGGTCGAAAATGAGAAAGGAATATGCCGTGTATAGAAATAAGAATCAGCCTGGGCTTTCCTCATAAATTATAGTGTCAAGCAAACTGTGGAGTCTGCAGTTCTGTCCATCAGGGCAAATCAGTCTCAAAAAGAAATGTCAGCTTTCTTCATTGTACTTCTTTTAAATGGTCTGACAAAAGAAAGAACAATAAGTTTGACCAAAATGTAGTTTTCTGAACCGAAGAGATGAGATGCTTAAATTTGAATAAATGCCTTAAGTGAATGCCCTCAGAGATAAGGTTACAACCTTAGATTACAACCTTAGAAGGTATTCATTAAAGGCTGTTTGCAAGCTGTGAAGAAAACTAGTTTAACCAGTATTGCTGCAGGTGTAGATTTCCCATAGCACAAAAAGTGCTGGCAATCTGAATTATCACTTTAACTGTTTGTTTATTCCATTTTTAAAATGCATATTCAGTTCTGCACGTTTTACTCATTTCCCAAGAATCTGCATCAAGGCTAAATAATGGTTACATCTGAAACATTTTAAAGTCACAATCTGGTTAGATTCTTTTAAATGGCTTTTGAAATAATAACCTTCGCCTGCCTCCAAATGTATTTACAATGCAAATTTTACCAAAGAACAGAATGGGGTGAATCTACTACTGAGTGCTCACAATATTGAACCAATTTTCCCCATGCCACAACACACTGAAAGCTGCACTGACATGTGCTCATGCCTTTCTACATGACCTGCAGCATCCAACCAAATTTATTGGGTTACATCACGGATTATATGAGCTGTAATCCCAGTCAGATTGGCATGTGAAAGTTGACTTCAGTGCAATTTGTCAGCATCCCTACTACAATGTGTTCTGCAAGGCAGTTTCATTCTAGTTAGTGATGGCAGATTTATTGCTCCTGCACCATCAATGTAATTCAAAGCAATTATAACAACATGGACAAATCTAATTGATTTTGTGTCCACATCAATAATCCATCAATCACTTCAATATGTAGCATAATATACATACATTAAGTCCAGAATAGCTTGTCAAGAGCAGCTCCCTAGTCCTAAAGTGCTGGAAACTACATCATAAACAATGCTATATATAGATTCTGACCTATTAACATCCCAATGACAAAATGCCTGAGTGTGTACAGCAAGTCTGTACTACTCTATATGAAAATGCCCACAACAAATAGATCTGTTTTTGTGGTTTGATGTGATTTTAGATGTTATCATATAGAGATATAGTGTTTAGAATCGTTTCATTTTCGCAAGGTCACTTTTTGTGTAAATTGCACTTTACTTTGTTACCTTTAATAATTGTACTCATCTTCATTTAAATGATAAAGTTTTCCAGGAATGGTTTTAATATGTTGTTAAACAACATATTAAGTTTACTAAAGATCAATTCAGTTATTAAAAAAAATAAATTTAGGTTGCCGAATAGGTTGCAGAGTTTTGCTACGAAACCCTTTCATACGATTAACGTTTTACTGTGGTAACCTGTGACTCCAGTTAACTGACCTTTCAAGTTGATGCTGAGTTTACAGTATTAAAGATCTTCAGACTCCCAGACACCTCATTTCTAACCTAGAAACAGAAGACAGCAAGAAAAAAGAAAGGCATTTGATTTTCAGTGTTGCTTGGCAACAAGCACTGCACATAATATCGACAATCTGGACACGTCGAGGAGCCCCAAGAACCAAAAAAGACAGTTACTGAGAGCATTTCTGACCTAACGCAAACATCTCTTGGCATTACTCTTTCTCTGTTTCTCTGTTAATCAATGGCGCAAACAGACTTGTTGTTAATCACCATTTTACTACAAACATTTTCTGAAGAATCTGTTGGTAAGAATTCACGATTTCTCGCTGTGAGACTGCTGCCTGGGGTGATATGTCTTTGTCCAACTCGGGATAAAAACAGCATTCCTGATTTAGCCCCCTTTGTCACGACCAAAATAAATGTTAATGGCCAGTCTCACTATTACAAGAATGGTACACTATACCCAATCAAGTTTCTGCCTTGTTGTCATAAGGATAACAGCGTCAGAGTCCTTTAGGTATCTTAATAAAGCAATTTCCAGAAGGGGAACGTTCTAACTAGTCTAATGTTACATGTTTTTAAGTATATTTAAGGGATAGCTCACCTAAAAATAACAATTCTGTCATCATTTACACACCCTCCTGCATTTAAGTTAACCTGTGAATTCTTGATAGTAGAAAAATACTTATAACATTGATGATTTCTCTAATTCATTTTCAGAGAAGGGAGATTTCATTGCCCTGGATCTGGGCGGCTCTAATTTCCGTATTCTGCGGGTCAAAGTGTCTCATGAGAAGAAACAGACAGTGCAGATGGAAAGTCAGATATATGAGACTCCAGAGGACATCATTCACGGCAGCGGATCACGGGTACAAGACCAGTTCTTGGTCCACCTGAAATCATAAACAACCAGTTTTTGTTGAGAATATTTGTGTATATAAATTAATATTGAACAATGTCATCTGAACAGCCAATGTATGTTTACAATCAAACATTGTGTGTTTAAAGGGGTCATATGATGCGATTTCAAGTTTTCCTTTCTCTTTGGAGTGTTACAAGCAGTTAGTGAATAGATAAGGTCCCTAAAGTTGCAAAGACGAAAGTCTCAAACCCAAAGAGATATTCTTTATAAAAGTTAAGACTGGTCCACGCCCTCCTAAAACACCTCGTTTAAACACGCCCCCACATGTCTACGTCACGATGTGGGAAGATTTGCAAAATACCGCCCAAATGTTCAAGCAAAGAAAGAAGGTGGGACTTTATTGTTGCTGCTACCGCCGCCGCCATGTTGTGAAGACGCTGTGAGTTTCGTTGCGAAAGTGAAAATACTTTGTTTGGCCTTCCAAAGGAGGACACAACTAGAAATCAGTGGTTAAGTTGTATTTACAACACTGTTCCAGAACAGTTCAACCCAAATATACAGATGTGTGCAGCACATTTTATGGAGGACTGTTTCCTGATCCTGGTAGAGTGACTACAATGCTGGCTGTTCTGACTCACAGACTGTAAGTACGTTTTCATATTTAAAGAATTTGCCATTGATGATTCAAACGCGAGTTTTGAGCAGTGTAGAGTAGCACTTGTTGTTTGTCATTTCTCCGATCACAAATGCAGACATGGTTTTATGTTTACGTGACGCAATGCAACGCAACGCGTAAAAAGACAGTATAAATCATTATAATCCGTAATTATGTCCCCACTGGATGCAACAAATGCCTCGTTTATAATGGGTTGTAAAGTTTTTGTCTCGTCGCGCTGGGACATGGCATCACTGTATGGTATGGGGCATAACAGTTCCGTCACACGCTTGAGGTATTTGGCCAATCACAATGCACTGGATAGCTGGCCAATCAGAGCACACTTTGCTTTTCAGACCGATGAGCTTTGTAAAAATCGACGCGTTTCAGAAAGGCGGGGCATAGAGGGGGAAATAATGAGTTTTTTTAACCTTAAACCGCATAAACACATTTCATTACACCAAATACACAAAATAATGTTCTTTTTAGCAACATCATATGACCCCTTTAATATCATATAGTCGATTGTACATTAGACAGCATTCATAATTGTCTCCATTTTGTACATGCTCATTATTTCTTGCAGTTGTTTGACCATGTTGCAGAATGTCTGGGAGACTTCATGGAGAAACAAAAAATTAAAGACAAGAAGCTTTCCATGGGTTTCACGTTCTCATTCCCTTGTGCACACACCAAACTGGATGAGGTAACAGTGCATTCGATTCTATATGGTTTGCCATGAAATTATGGCATTTACATTTTATATAGTTCTACTACTGTGTGTCAAAGATCCAATTAATGCATACAAACTTATGACAATATTTTTTACCATTGTATTTTTACAGGCTGTTTTGCTAACATGGACGAAACGCTTCAAGGCCAGTGGGGTTGAGGGAATGGATGTAGTAAAGCTTCTAAATAAAGCCATCAAAAAACGTGGGGTGAGTGATAAAATAATCCCTTATTTTGTGAATGGTATACAGGTGGATATTAATTTTAGACTTCTTACTGAGGGAGTAAAGGTGTAATGATTCACTTACAGGACTATGATGCAGATATCATGGCTGTCGTCAACGACACTGTGGGAACTATGATGACCTGTGGCTTTGATGACCAGCGCTGTGAAGTTGGCATTATTATTGGTAAAAATATTTATCCTAATATCTCTTTATTTTATATAGTTGATCAGACTCTTAAATGGACTTCAAAAGAGTTTAAAATTAGAATTGTAAAGCTGTAATGCCCATTTGAATCACATAAATTCAAATTTGCTCACAGCAACATTGTAAAATTAACTTCCCTCAGTGTACAGATCAATGGTGAATACCACAAATATACTTGATATGCTCAATCAAAGCTTCTGGATTCTTGAACATCTGCCATGGCATATGCTGCTGTGATCCCTCAGGTACCGGCACTAATGCATGTTACATGGAGGAGCTCAGACACCTTGATCTGGTGGAGGGAGATGAAGGGAGGATGTGTATTAATACTGAATGGGGGGCATTTGGAGACGACGGCACATTGGAGGATATCCGAACTGAGTTTGACAGGGAGATTGATCGTGGGTCCCTCAACCCCGGCAAGCAGTTGTAAGTCACAGAACTTTAAAAGCTCTCAAAAATCTCAGCCTATTTTATCATAACATTTGAAGAGGTAAAGGTGAGTGTTGGCTGTTTTCAGGTTTGAGAAGATGGTCAGTGGGATGTACATGGGTGAGTTGGTGAGGCTGATCTTGGTCAAGATGGCTAAGGAAGGCCTGCTGTTTGAGGGCCGCATCACCCCAGAGCTGCTTACAAAAGGAAAAATTGAAACCAAGCATGTTTCTGCAATTGAGAAGTGAGCTGTCATTCATTTCATTATGGTCATTATTTATTCGATAATAAGATTCATTTAAAAAAAAAAAGAGTTTAATTCTGTCATTTCAAGCATTTTAAGGTATATTAAAACATTCTAAAATACATGTTAATTTGAGTTTTATCTAAGTGTTGAGTTTATAAAAAATTTTTTTGAAATTATTATCTAACTTTCATTTTAAAAATTTACTTAATTCTAATTTGAAAAATTGAATCACTGTCACTAGTGGGCTGAAATTAAAGAAATAGTTCACCCCCAAAAAATTTACTCACCCTCAGGCCATCCATGAGTTTGTTTCTTCATCTGAACAGATTTGGAGAAATTTACCATTACATCACTTCCTCACCAATGGATCCTTTGCAGTGAATGGGTGTCGTCAGAATGAAAGTCCAAACAGCTAATAAAAACATCACTGTAATCCACAAGTAATCCACACGTCTCCATCAATCAACATTCCATCAGTTAACGCCTTATGACAAGCTGTGTTTGTAAAAAACAAATCTATCATGAAGGTGTTTTTTTACAGTTTCATTTGTTTGTTACATGCAGCATTTCACTTCACGAGACATTGATTAATGGATTGGAGTCATGTTGTGGATTATTTTGATGATTTTATCAGCTCTTTGAGCTCTCATTCTGACGGCACCCATTCACTGCAGGTGATCCAGAGGTGAGCAGTGAGGTATTGCTAAATTTCTCCAAATCTGTTCCAATTAACAAAATTATTTTGAATGTCCTGAGGGTAAGCACATTTTTTTTCTATTCCTTATTTTCTTCACTATTCATTTAAAGCCAATATAAATGGTCCATTGTGACTAAAAATCCTGATATTTTAAACCTTACAACAGTACCACATTTTCTTTAGGAGCAAAGAGGGACTTACCAAAGCCAAGGAGATTTTGACACGCTTGGGTGTAGAGCCATCTGAAGATGACTGCATTGCTGTGCAGCATGTTTGCGCTATTGTCTCTTTTCGCTCTGCAAATCTAATTGCTGCTACTCTGGGTGCAATCCTTACACGTCTTAAGGACAATAAGAACACCCCGCGCCTCCGCACCACAGTGGGCATCGATGGCTCCCTCTACAAGATGCATCCACAGTGAGTATAACATTCAGATCATCAAATCACACTAAAACATGACTTATCAGTAATACTATGTACCCAGCATGCTTAGTAAGTCATTACAGAGGGTTATGGGAATACATCTGCAGGTGCATGTGACACCCTGAGTGTGCGAACCCTCTTGAGGACTCTTCAGACAAAGGCGAGTTCTATTAATAAACATTGAGTAGGTTTCCATAGGAGCAGCTGCGCCTCTATTTGTTGTGACACTCTACTCACTGACCTTATCTGGACACTAAATTGGATGTTACAAGGTCACAGAGGGATTAGTTGAAAGATTAAAGACTAAATTGATATGCCATTCATGTCACCTATTCACAACAATTTACAGGCCTCTTTGAATGTCAGAATAGACAGCAAGTCTTTAAATAAACCTGAAAGGCATAGTAGTGTTCTGTACTCAGTGAAACTTGAGAGATAGGCTACTGCGAATGAGATACGGCAACAGCAGGACAGTATGTTGCGCAAGAACACTGTCTTTCAGTTGCCTTTAATAATAATGGTAATAAGCTGGATATCAGTGAAATTATATTTTATACAAAAGCCATACAAAAACTGTCCAAATAATGTTTTGCTTGACATTAGATCTCTACATGACGCTTTGGAATACTCGATTCTGATTAACCACTCTCTGCGTTCAAAGTGGCCGTTCACACAGAACGCTTTTTGTTTCCCTTCACCGCTCCACTCGCACCGCGGAGTCCTAAAAACGCGGCGCTCAAGTTAAACATTTTAACAATGGGCTATTCACACAGAACGCATTTTCCCGTTGAAAAAAAAAGTCCCAAAGGCGAACTTACGTGTGCGCAGTGTTTTAGGAACGCTGTGTAACGTGTCACGCTCCAGTTGGTACAAATGACCCGAGCGTGCCGTGACGGTCAAACACGTTCGTCTAGCATGTTTACATAGAAAACAAAGGAAAAGCAGGGCAGTGGAACGATTTTAAACGCAAAACGTGCTGTGTGAACTGAACTGGTATAATGACCGGTTAACTACAACCAGTATCCCGTTTCACAGTTTCGGGGTCTATGTAGGCAATAATATCTCAATAGCAAGCATGATATTTCAGTAGGCCTAATTAAATACTGGAGAAATTAACATTGCGTAACTTACATTTTAGACACATTGTTGGTTACTTTGTGTACTTGCTCAGCTGTATATCATTCCACACGAATTAACCTTCTCCGTGCAACACATAGTGGTGTTTCATTCCTGAATGAAACAGTGTTTCTGAACGAATCCGTTGAATAAATGATTCATGGACTCACTCATAAAGAAAGTCACTTACTGTGTTCCTTAATGAATAATTTTACCTACTTGAAATGTAACCTACAGAAAGAGTCGGTCAAAATTCCCTACCAGTAATACACATTAGACACATCCACATTTGAATCCACATCTGTTTGTTTCTGCCAGGTATGCCCGCCGGTTGCACAAAACTGTGCGTCGTCTGGTGCCGGAGTCTGACGTTCGCTTCTTGCTCTCTGAGAGTGGAAGTGGCAAAGGAGCTGCAATGGTCACTGCTTGGGCTTCCCGGTTGGCCGATCAGACACGTCAGATTGCTGAGACTCTGGCAGAGTTCCGCTTGACCAAAGAACAACTGCTGGAGGTAAAAAAGAGAATGAGAACTGAGATCCAGAATGGATTGAGCAAGAATACCCAAAGCACAGCCACCGTCAGGATGTTGCCCACCTATGTGCGGAGCACCCCGGATGGAACAGGTGAAAGATCTACAGTAATACTGTGTATTTTCCTAAAAATAGGCAGACAAACCACAAGAATGATATGCAGTGATCCCCCAGATATAATCTGCCATTCCTTCACTGCAAAAAAATCAATAAATAAATAAATGCAGTGTTATAATTACATTTAGCAAAATGTGTTCATTCACCCACCTGCTCCTCTGCTATGAGTAAATTAAATTCTCTTTTTCCCTGTTGAATTGCATCATAGTATAATCCCAGGCTTACTTATAGGCAGACAAACCACAAGAATGATATGCAGTGATCCCCCAGATATAATCTACCATTCCTTCACTGCAAAAAAAATAAATAAATAAATAAATGCAGTGTTATAATTACATTTAGCAAAATGTGTTCATTCACCCACCTGCTCCTCTGCTATGAGTAAATTAAATTCTCTTTATCCCTGTTGAATTGCATCATAGTATAATCCCAGGCTTACTCAATACAGGCACATGATGTTGTATTTTATCCCTGATGGTGATTTAAGGTGAAGGGTTTTAATATGCAACTCAGTTAAGAAAAGTGCATACAGATGTGTTTTCACCATCCAATCAATATCAATAATGAACAAATGTGCTGAGAATTCAAAACCTTCTAAATTCACAAATAGAGCAATAAAATGAAATGACAGCACAGGAACTTTATGCTGTCTAAAATCCTCTCATTCTTATACTAAATTATAAATTTGGCATTATAAAATACATTTTTGTATTATGCACGATTCATGACTTCTCTGTATTCCTATATTTTCTCTTTTATATAGAAAATGGTGACTTTTTGGCTCTGGATCTTGGAGGTACAAACTTCAGGGTGCTTTTGGTAAAGATTCGTAGTGGCAAGAGACGAACTGTGGAGATGCATAATAAAATCTATGCCATTCCCATCGAAGTAATGCAAGGCACCGGAGACGAGGTGTGTAGTCATATTTGCACCTTGTTAAAAGACTAGACTTACTCAAAAATCATCTTTTATATAGTTTTATGTATCATGTGACATTGAAGACTGGGGTAATAGCTGCTGAAAATTTAGCTTTAGGAAAAAATTTTTTTTAATTATTTTAAATTGTAATGCTATTTCACAATATTCCAATTTTTGCTGTTTTATTGATTAATGACTACTTAATGCTTAATAACAATTTTTTTCCCACTTTTAGGTATGAGAAGATGTGCAGTGGCATGTACCTGGGTGAGATTGTACGGAACATCTTGATTGACTTGACAAAGCGCGGCTTCCTCTTCAGAGGACAGATCTCTGAGACCCTAAAGACCAGGGGTATCTTCGAAACCAAGTTCCTTTCCCAAATTGAGAGGTACTGCAGCGGTTTCTCAGATTTCATTGTCACATTTCATCACGAAAACCAGACATATTGAAATGCTAAAATACATTCTATTTAGAAACATTTCAAACTGCTTAATGGTCATAGCCTGAAATGTTGTTTCTTCCCTTTAGTGACCGTTTGGCACTACTGCAAGTCAGGTCCATTCTGCAGCATCTGGGCCTGGACAGCACATGTGACGACAGTATTATCGTCAAGGAAGTGTGTGGAGCTGTTTCCCGCAGGGCTGCCCAGATCTGTGGAGCAGGAATGGCTGCTGTTGTAGACAAAATCCGGGAGAATCGTGGTCTGGACCATCTAGACATCACTGTTGGGGTGGATGGCACTCTGTATAAGCTCCATCCACAGTAAGTAAATGCAGAATGAATGTATCTTTAAAAGCTTTTGTGATTTAAGTACAGTACTTATTTCCAGGTAATGGGCGTAAATGTGGTACCTGACCTATGCCCCATTATTCTATTCAGTTTCTCACGGATAATGCATCATACTGTGAAGGAGCTCGCCCCCAACTGCAATGTCAACTTCCTTCTCTCAGAAGATGGAAGCGGGAAAGGTGCCGCCTTGATCACCGCCGTTGGGTGCCGCCTCCGCCAGCAAGAACAAAAGAGCTGAACTCTGTGTCGAACAAGCCCTCAGCTCCTTCTCTGGCTCTCTCAGAGCTTATACATTTCCACTCGCAGCTGTGACTCTGCTCTCATCCACCACGATCTGGCACATTCTTCTGCTCATGCCCAGAGCTGTGATTTGACCCCTTTGCTTTGTATTTTAGTTCCCGTCGGCCTTTCTCAGTGTATGTCTTTGTGTGTTATTAGGTGTTGGTCTGTCTGTGTCCACCCAAACTATATGTTAAACTGTTAAATAATAATAATAAACTGTTGTTAAAGTATTTATGGATGTATATTGGAAAAAGGAAAGAAATGTAAACACATTACAAACATTAAAGTTAAGATATTTGACCAAGTATATGAAGATATTTATTTTATTTTTATATTTGATGGTAAACATAACAGGAATGGATACCTGAGGGGAAGAAGGTATTTTGTTGCGATTATGCCAAGCTAATTCCAAACCTCTGCATATTGTCATTTGTCTGTGTGGCAGTTTGTGGTGTGAATATTGCAAAACATTTAAGGAGCATTCGCTAATCATAACAGCCCCCTCATTGGTCACGGTTTAAGTGACGACGACATGCAAGTTCAGTCTCGCAGTCACAGCTGCCTTCCTGCGTAACTCAAGCCCCTAATACTGGTCGCCGTACAAATTAATAAGGACAGGAAACCGATTGCCTTTGTGTATCCACTTTCTCTGAAATAGTCTTACCCTCTCATTTCCGAAGAAGTTAGAAAATCGTATCATGCATATTGCTTTTGTCAGCTTTTTGCTGTGTGTGTATGTTCCCAGTAAATGTCCTTCTGTGTGCCCTGGCTGGTTATTTGTGAGTGATCCTGTGTAGTTGATGTGAGTGAATCTGTGTAGTGGCTCAGAGATCTGATGAATGCATGCCTTATTTGGTAACTGAGGTCTAGCATCCACTGATTTTGTACTATTTCATAGTTGCACTATATAAATAGATGTTCATGGAAAAAGCTATAGGAGAACACCATAAAAATATTTTGATCAACTCAATTTGTGTTATGTGGTGTCCTTCACGGTTGCCCAAACACCATAGCATTTTTTGTTCAGTATTTACATCCTATGTGGTAATTGTTTGTGCAATAAAAGAAATTCCTTTTATATCTATTTTGAATGAATGTATTGAAAGTTGATTTTCCACGTAATGCGTAATAAGCACACCTGAACAAAATGGTTACATTTTAAAAGGATCCTCCAATCACACAGGCTAAATATTTCTAATTGTTACAGTGAAAATGCTGGTTACTAAGTTTCTTGCAGTATTTTTTTATTTACACACTTAGACACTATATGGGCTACTGATTCCACAAAAAAATTACAAATAAATAAAGATTTAAACTTTATCTTAAGGGAGCCAAATATGAGCCTTCTTTGAAAGCTTCAAGGTGTAGTAAAGTCTTATTTTTCTGGCTACTGCATACATACTGTTTTTTTTTCTCTCTCTCTACTGGCTTGTCTTTTTGGGGTACATCCCAACCTCTCTGTTCTATTTAACATTTTTGTATTTGACAAAACACTAGTAATGTAATGCAGTAACTGTACAATATACTTTACTTAGATTTCAGCACAGAACAATCATACAATTAAACAGATGCTAGACAATCATACAAAAGAAAAGATTTTACCAACAAAATCAATAAAAATATGAATTTTGTATTACCCACTGCCATTATATGTGACAGCATAACAAACAAAATAATTTTTATATGGAAAACACAGCTTAATTATCCATTTGTAACATATAATTGACTTTGAAATGAAATATCTCAGGGCTAAAACTCATGCGAACATACTAAATTCTCTTTAATCAGTCAAGCGTATTGATGTACATACAGATGTATATTAAAGATAATACATGCTGTAAACATTGAGTACCAATGAAATGTAAGCTTGCGTGTCTATGTACAGTAGAATTACAACTGTTTGGTTTTGTTAATATTATAGCTTGCCTATATCCCCGGTTTACAGACAAGGCTTAAGCCCAGTCCCAGACTAAAATGTAAGTTTGAGCTGTTTCAACTGAAAGAAACTCGCACTGATTGATCTTAAAATATGTCAGTGCCCTTGTTTTGTCTCAAGATGCACACTAGTAATGTTTTTTTCTAAGGCACGGTTATAAAAATGACTTAAGTGTCCTAATTGATCATGGGCTTAATCCTGGTTTAGTCTAAGCCCTGTCTGTGAAACCAGGCCTTAATGTCTTCGACCACTATAGATAATTAGGCAACACAGATTTCCCAATTCATTTTGATTCTCTTTTTCCAACATGGTCAATTCAACCCAACAGTCATTGTCCTGCTTACACTGACTGTATATTTCAAGTAATCCATACTCTTGACCAAGGGTACAGATGCTCTGACCAGTTTAATGCTGATTTTGCAGTTGTTTTTACATTTAGAGATGCCACTTGACATTTAACCAATATTTACAGCTTAAAACATTCATTGCTCTATTGTGGAGCATGAATTAACATGGTAAATTGTTGTTTAGGTTTAGGGTCGTAATATTTTTTCTGTTTTTGAAAGTCTCCCATATGCTCAGCAAGGCTGCATTAACTTGATCAAAAATACAATAAAAAAACTGTAAAGCTGAATTTTCAGTATTCATTACTCCAGTCTACAGTCACATGATCCTTCAGAAATCACTCTAATATGCACGGATTTGGTGCTCTAACATTTCTTATTATTATCAATATTGAAAACAGTTGCGCTGCTTAATATATTTTTGTGGAAACTGTGATACATTTTTCAGGATGATTTGATGAATAGAAAGTTCACAAGTTGAGCATTTATTTGAAATAGATTTTTTTTGTAAAATTATAAATGTCTTTGTCATTTTTGATCAAGCCAATGCATTGTTTCTGAATATATGTATTAATTTCTTATAAAAAAATCTTTATGACCCCAAACCTTTGAACAGTATTGTATACAGCATATACAAAATGAACTGATCTATACATATACTAGGACTAGTACTTCAAGCAGCAACACGGAAACAAAAACAGGCTTGGTGCTTATGCCATAGGAGTAGATGAATACTCCACCAGTAATGCCCACTGAATAGAGAACAATAGGAGGGAAAATCTAATTCTGTTGTGAGGTATTTTGTGCAAGTATGGCCGTGCTTGATTTTTTAGAATAGCCAACACAAGTGTTTTTCACCCTCATCACTGAAATATTGTAGATTCAGGCCTTGATTAGTTTGGAAGTGGTGTCTTCTGCTTCGTTGACATGATTACGGACCACCACGCTGGTGGTCTCAGTGTGATAACTGCGTCTCATGTGGAAGGTTCTCATGTTCTGCAGTTCCATGTTGTCCTCCTCAGAAACCTTGATGAGGGGGCACCACTGGAACGCTTTGCGAAAACCTGAGCGGAATCTAAAGAAGGACAGCATATGCTAGACGTAAACCTCCTGTGCATTAAGAATGGGACTTCTTGAAGAATAAATACTGATTAAAATTAGGGATCGGGATTGGGATTGAAAACTTTAGGGATCACTGTTCTAGGTTAACTGACATTAATGCAAATGCTGCACTAAATATTCATGTTAATGTGTTTAAAACCATTTTTTCTCCATCTTCAGATGTAATGTGCATTTACCTTTGGTTTAGACAGCAGTAAATGATGGGGTTGTACATAGTGGAACTCATAGCCAGCCAGAAGATGGACAAATAGACCTGCTGGATGTAGTGCTGCTTGTATATGTCCCTGTTGAAGCTCCCCAGGATGAAGTAGATGTGGTAGGGAAGCCAACATATTGCAAAGGTCGTCACCACCACTATCATCATCTTCACAACCTTTATTAAATTGCAAAAATGGAATGAATCTTTTTTGCTTTAAACGCAAAGAACTATAATCCAAAATCATAAATATCTGCTGCCACCAATGAAAACTCTCTCTGGAGAGGTTTACTATAAAGGACACAAAAGAGAAAATTGTGAAAGGAATAAAAAAACAAAACAATTTCTTGTTCTGCCAGAAGAAAAGCGTTTT